TCCACCTTTCTTCGGCAGTCAGTATGGCATGTCTGATTTGATCCGTGAGCTCCTGGTCCTGTCTCTTAAGTTTACTTACGAGCATGCAGCTGCGTAAATGTCGTTGTTGCTAATTTAATTGAATCATAATCTGCCTGCTGAGGGGGCTTGATGCAGCCTGTCATCTCTCTGGGGCTCATTAAACACCACTTTTGTAAGAAGTCAACAATGATTGTCCTTTGGACGGCCTGGCCCCCACCATAGGAATGTGGAAACTCTACAACTGGCTCACGGCCATATATGGAGATGAGCACTGCCCCACATCCATTTGATCAGAAAACACGTGGGCTTTAGTATTTTTACTTAAAAAATGGCAATATACAAAATAAAATGCCCCATCTTGACCAAATTTAAATCATATATTTGAAATCCTCTGCACATTTAGCCTTAAACGGAAACTAAAATTTCAAAGGCAGAGCATGGAAAATTAACAATGCAGGGAATATGCGTTTTATTTCGATGTCAAGATAAATTTTAAAGTTATTTTATTATGATATGCTTCTTGAGAAAATAGTTTTCAAATTGGTTAGTGCAATACGGTCGTCATAATTATCTGCTCTTTGTCAATCGACTGGTGAATGAAACCTTTCCCACCACTCTGTTAGTCTCAGTTTTTCTATTTTTCCCACCATAATTCACGAAGCTGATCAGTATGGTTTGGTGAAGTGCGGGCTATGACTGGTTCAGATATAGTTATCCACCGATGTTAAACATGGATGGGAATTTAACCTAGGGTTCGTAACGCATTGCGAAAGGCCACTGTCCCATCATGCCCCTGACATTGCCTCAGCCCTCTGGCGAAATTAAAAGTGGGGACGCGTATCTGGGCGTGGTGGCGCACTTCTGCAATCCAGAAATAAGAGTTAGTGGATCGCACAGAGATCACCACGAGTGGAACCCTAAAACCTCCAGGCCGGTCATTATATGACAGCACTGAGAGGTGGGTTCTGTCGTACTTTGAGTTATCTCTATGATCATTTAGGATTTATTATTTGGTTCTTTCGGTTAAGTCACGTCTAAAGATAAAATAATAAATTAAATAATAGCATATTACGACGTTTCGATTGCAATTATTTAATTTGCTATTATTTAATGTATTCTTTTATCTTTAGACGTGACTTAACCGAAAGAACCAAATAATAATTCCTGCAGTCACGAAAGTTCTAAAATTAACATTTAGGATTTCTCCCACACTCTTGCTTTCCTCCCATAAAGGAAAATGTGTGCATCGAGTCCCGAGGCTTTGTGAGCATTGCTTAAGAAATAATTGTACTTTTTTTTATTATTACCGTACAGTATTTTCTCTTTAATTCATCTAACCAGTGCAGAAGCTGCTTAAAAGTTAAGCCTTGAAGCACAATGGTCTGAGTCCAGTGGAGAGTTATGCTCATTACTCGGAGCGTTACGACATGTCGAAAAAAATTGATTCTCACTCTGACAGAGCGTGCGTGTGAGAGAATTTATTCGTTTCGGAATCGTACCCACTCAGTAATCACTGTGGTTCGTGTAGGCCCCTGCATTTGCTTGAGGCATTACAATATAAACACACGTCCATTGTCGATTCTTGACAATAAATGTAATCGTCAACATATTCGCACATTATAATTATTTTTCCCCCTTTTATCTGGCAACGCGCCTTTTGGCGTCATCTGGTCCAACACCATGTGAGACTAGGCTCTAATAAAAGCTGTCTCGGGTGTGTAATAATTAATTTCAAGGACAGTGCATACATTATCAGAGTTGTGTTTTTTTGTTTGCATTCCGACCGCAGGTATTGTGGTCAATGCAAACATGACTCCTTGTAAAAAAGGTGTCAGTTTTGTTGCCAGATAAAAGGGTAAAAAAAACTATTATCATATTTTGCTACTGGCAAAGGAGGTTCCAATGGTATATTCGCACGTTGTTCAACGCCTGCCCTTTCTCTTATCTGGCTTGCACTCATGAAACCAAAAACAAATCTGCGAACCGTGTTTCTTCTTCATCATCATCATCATCATCAAATAAACAGTACAGTACTGTCATAACTTCAGCAGTTGTCGTGGTGTGAGTATTTCAGCCAGCAGTATTGCTCACACGTTCGTGTGGCTGTCTCATTTGTTCGCATAATCAGCCTCTTCTAAAGCGTCATTTCTTCCCGGGTGCGGGAGACGGGGTGTGGGAGACAGGGCGCGCTCGCTTTAGCCGCTGGCACAGTGTGACGCATCTTAAGTTATAGCCCTCACAGAGACTTTCCTGGTTTTTTTTCCAGGGCAGCTGTCCTTGCCCTTTTGCTAGAATATTTTAGCTGCAAACAATACATGTTTCATGAACTAATGTTTCATCCACTCCACTGTCATACGTTCAAAAATGTATAATTGACTTCAGAAATAAAAGTGACGCAGTCAGTGAAATCTGTGTCATTTAACATTTTGGATTTACGTGTTTCGGTTTGTCTTTACAAATCAAACTGGATGACGAAGCTGGATCTAACCCTGCAGCTTGTCCATATTTACACGAGCGGGAGAGATGCGGGTGTGGCACACACGGCAGTCAATGTGAAACAAACTTTAAAATTTTGTTGCTGTGGATTTCACACCTGATGATGATTGCTCGTGTTGCAGTCGAAACCTCGTGAGAATTTTTATTGTTTTATATTTATATTATTTTATTATTTCCCTTCTACGTGACTTTACCGAAAGAACCAAGAATATGAATCCCTGCAGTCACGAAAGCGTTAAATCAAAATTTAAACCTTAAACAAATAGATATTAACAGCTAAACCGAATAATAATCATTTTCTTGGATCTTTCGGTAAAGTCACGTAGATAGGTTCAAAGAAACTAACTAAAAATAACAAAAAACTACGACGTTTCGATCGCAACACAAGCGGTCGTCTTCAAGAAAAGGGGGGCATGTGTTTCAATCGAAACGTCGTCGCTTTTGTTGTTATTTTTTGTTATTTTAATTGAACCTATCTACGTGACTTTGCCGAAAGACCCAAGAATACGAATTCCTGCAGTCACGATCGACTTTTATCTATTGTACATTCTGCTCCATCTCTCACCCCGCGTGTTTATGAGGAAAGCATGTACCCTACGGTGCTAGTTAAATCACACGCACACACGTCCGATGGGCGTACACACACACACACAAAACTGCAAGATAGCAATACGACCCTGCAATGTCTCAGTTCACCGCAAATGAAGTTTCCGTCAATGTGTCCTCCGCTCGTGGTTCAGGAAGATACTGTCAAATATGGATGCTGCTTGCCGAATTTTAACAAGTTCACTTTCGGCTTGGTGCTTGGATAGCCTGGTGGTCAATGCGTGCGCTGTTGAGCCAGCTTTCATATATGTTTTACAAGATGTACCCTCATTTGCCAGGTAGTTTCACAGGGATACCACCAAGGTGTAATGGTCAACACACTGAACTTGCAATCCAGAGGTCACCGGTTCGATGTGACCTCCCAGCATGGCAGTTGAAACAATGGTGTGCAAGTTTCCTAAACTCCTCCACCTCCGTTTACCGAGCGGTATGAATGGGCACACCACAGTTTGTCGATTGGTGGCAGGGTCATGCGTGGTGGGGTAAAGTGTGGGTACTCACACTTCCAAGAAATCTGGCCAGTGTGGAAGAGTAGGCCAACATACTCTCTCTCGAGCGCAGATGAAAGAAAGTGTCTCGAGAGAGAGAGAGGGGCTTTTGAGTGCTCCCTTCTTCCAGCAGTGGCGCATGAGCAAGTACTTTCAGGGCTGCACCTTTACTTTGTAGTGTCTAAGCACGCACAACACAGGCGCACGTATGGAAACGTGACAGAGATGCCGGACTTTTACCGAAGGCTGCCCGCGATTTTATTCTGCCACGGGAAAGCACGTCACGGTGGCTTGTCACGGTGGCACGTCACGGTGGCTTGTCACGGTGGCTTTGGTTGTGGATGTCGTTTTCACGACTGCCAGTCTTGCCATTGACCAAACCGTATGCTAAGCAGGTTTTGTTTAAGCCTGGTTAAAATACGTACAGTGACCAATGTTCAAAAGAGCAGGTGCACGGAGCGTTGACAGATAACACAGAGCACATGCTGTCAATTTGTAGCATCTGGTAGTAGTTTCCCAGTTTGTTTTTTACAAGCATGTGTCTTTACTGTGTAAAACCACCACACTGGAATGTTGGGTCAAAGCACCTATTATCTCTCCACTTCTTCTCTCGCACTGCAAGACTCTATAATTACCTCGTGTCCTACGTTCCTGCTGTAACCCTGCTCATGTTTAAGGCGTGCATTTCACACTTATCAAGAACAACTTCAGGAGCGCCGTTTGCTCCTGGCCACTTGGCATTTTGGGACCTTTTTGGGCCCTCTGCTCAGCAATCCAGATTTGAAAGCAAGTGGGTTTGTGATCAAGTTCAAGTTCATTTATTAGGTATAGCCCTGTGAGCCATTCGGCTCTTGATCCCTGTGTGAAGACCCTTGAATATATGGGATTGCTGTGTTCCTCTTGAGAGTATGGGATTTCTCCTGGGCACCCGGTTTCCTGCCTCGCTTAACGCAACACTCATTCCAGTATAATAACAAGTGGCCAAACAACAGCGCAGATGAAAGAAAGTGTATTGGGACTCAACGTGGCTTTGCTGGATTATAAAACATGAACAGAGAATTGTTATAATTAGGATTGCATTTATAATAACATCACGTAGTATTGCACACAGGATGAAGACATTCGCTGACACGTCCACAGATTAACTCAGTATTCTGATCTGGCAACATGGCCTCTCGGTGTGCTGTGAAGAAGGGCCATTGCCCGAAACGTCGCATATCGTTGACTTCATTTTTTTCATTTAAGGCCACACACACAAGTGTCATTGAAGAATGTGTTGAGTTAAAAATAACAAAAAAGTGAGCGACTGCTGTTGTTGAGTGTGGAAGGAGTGGGTGTGACAGGGGGCGTGGCCGGTGTGAAGCCCCGCCCCCCACGAGGCCACGCCCCCCGCGAGGCCACGCCCCGAGGTGGTGGCGCGCGATGCGCAGCGCCGCACTCACCTGGGGGCACGAGGTGGGCAGCAGCGCGTGAGTCGAGCTCCACTCACCAAACACCCACACAAACACTCACCTACACACTCACCTACACACTCACACCTACACACTCACACCTACACACTCACACCTACACACACTCACACCTACACTCACTCACACACTCACTCACACACTCACTCACACTCACACACACTCACCTACACACTCATACACACACTCACCTACACACTCACACACACTCACCTACACACACACACTCACCTACACACACTCACCTACACACACACTCACCTACACCTACACACTCACCTACACACACACACTCACACACTCATACACACACTCACACACACACTCACCTACACACACTCACACTCACCTACACACTCACACACCCACCTACACACTCACACACACTCACCCACACACACTCATACACACACTCACCTACACACTCACACCCACTCACACACACTCACACACTCACTCACACACTCACTCACACACACTCACACACACTCACCTACACACTCATACACACACTCACCTACACACTCACACACACTCACACACACTCACCTACACACACTCACCTACACACACACTCACCTACACCTACACACTCACCTACACACACACACTCACACACTCATACACACACTCACACACACACTCACCTACACACACTCACCTACACACACTCACACTCACCTACACACACACACTCACACACTCATACACACACTCACCTACACACTCACACCTACACACACTCACACACACACTCACACACTCACTCACACACTCACTCACACACACTCACACACACTCACCTACACACTCATACCCACACTCACCTACACACTCACACACACTCACCTACACACACACACTCACCTACACACACTCACCTACACACACACTCACCTACACCTACACACTCACCTATACACACACACTCACACACTCATACACACACTCACACACACACTCACCTACACACACTCACCTACACACACTCACACTCACCTACACACTCACACACCCACCTACACACACACACACACTCACCCACACACACTCACCCACACACTCACACACTCACCCACACACTCACCCACACACTCACCCACACACTCACCCACACTCACCCACACTCACCCACACACTCACTCACACACTCACCCACACTCACTCACATACTCACACACACACTCATCTACACACTCACACACACTCACCTACACACTCACACACACTCACCTACACACACTCACACACACTCACACACCCCTACACACACTCACACTCACCTACACACACTCACACACACACACTCACCTACACACACTCACACACACTCACCTACACACACTCACAGACTCACACACTCACTCACAGACTCACACACTCACTCACACACACTCACACACACACACCCACACACACTCACCTACACACACTCACTTACACACACACTCACACACACACACCCACACACACTCACCTACACACACTCACCTACACACACTCACACACCCACACACACTCACTCACACACACTCACTCACACACACTCACTCACACACACTCACTCATACACACTCTCACTCACACTCACCTACACACACACTCACACACACACACTCACCCACACACTCACTCACACACTCACACACTGCCTGCATACTACAAGCTCTCTCCACTCTCCTCCTGTGAATGTCAAGGTGGACGCGGTATTATTGTGTTTTATCAAGGTGCATCCAAACCTTGTTTGTTACGTCAGGTGGGTTAAAGATCCCGACACACTTTGTCTCGACAACAACTGAGGAGTTGAGTGCTTTAAGGGTGTACGCGGAACAGGCGAACCATTTCTCGAGTGTGTGTGTCACCCACAGTCGTACACACGGTGTGTGTGTGTGGGTGAGTGTGGGTGGGTGAGTGTGGGTGGGTCAGTGGGGTGTGGGTGAGTGGTGTGTGGGTGAGTGTGTGTGTGTGGGGCTGAGTGTGTGTGGGTGTGTGTGAGGGTGGGTGAATGTGTGGGTGAGTGTGTGGTGGAGTATGTGGGTATGTGGGTGAGTGTGTGTGTGGGTGAGTGTGTGTGTGGGTGAGTGTGAGTGAGTGTGGGTGTGTGTGGGTGAGTGTGGGTGTGTGTGGGTGAGTGTGTGTGGGTGAGAGTGGAGTGTGTGGGTGAGTGTGTGTAGGTGAGTGTGTGTGGGTGAGTGTGTGTGGGTGAGTGTGTGTGGGTGTGTGTGGGTGTGTGTGGGTGAGTGTGTGTCTGTCTGTGTGGGTGAGTGTGTGTGGGTGAGTGTGTGTGGGTGAGTGTGTGTGTGGGTGGTGTGTGTGTGGTATCTGTCTGTGTGTGTGGTGTGTGTGGGTGGTGTGTCTGTCTGTGTGTGTGGGTGAGTGTGTGTGTGGTTTGTCTGTGTGTGTGTGGTGTGTGGGTGAGTGTGTGTGTGTGGTTTGTCTGTGTGTGTGTGGTGTGTGGGTGAGTGTGTGTATGTGTGGGGTGTCTGTCTGTGTGTGTGGCAGTGTAGGGTTCGTACACTGTGATGTTGACGGTCCAGCGTGTCCCTTGCAAGGTGTATACACACTGTACCGCGGCGTGTCACGCCTTAGGGTGGACACGCCTCTGTACAGTGCATACAATGTCACACACTACTATATTGTGTGTTGATACTGTTATCCTCAAGTGTTCAATACTGTAATGTCGGTGTGTTAATTTTGAGGTCTACATAATTAGTTTTCCACTGTCATCTAAATTATTATCGTGATACATGATCTATCCACTTCTGGATGAGGGCCTCCCCCAAATCACCATTCTACTGCTGGATGAGGCTGGTGCCATTCTCTCATCCGTCTGCCTACCTCTCTAAACACGTGAAAGCCTCCGTGTTAAATTGACGTGCAGTATCTCTACGTTGGTATTCCACAATCTATCGGGCTCGTCTCTCCGTATCAACCAAATCCACAGCTTGTACCCTTAACATAGATAATACGATAGTACGCGGAGAATTGTGTTGTCGCAGGTGTGCATGCGGAATCATGCGGAATCATTCGGTCTGCGTTTCCTTGGACGAACAGATACCACATTTCATGCACATACTGGGTTTACGTCATCTTCTGGGTATACGTCATCCGCTGGGTATACGTCATCTGCTGTATTAATGCTACAAACACCCACCAGTATCTTGTGTATGGTGTTGTGGGAGTCGTGCCAGGTGTGTTGTACTCAGTGTCTGCACGTTTTGCATCGTCCATTTGGAACTCTTGAGTAGTGAATGGCACCACGTCGTTATTGAACTCTACATTTGGATGTCTCCACGAGTCGCATTGACTCTGCACTGGGCAGCACACTTTCCCCGCGCGCTGTGCCACAGAGGGACACGTTCGACACATGGCAAGCAATATGGTTGTGCAACATTGTCAGAAAACTAATGAACGTGATTGAGTTGTTTTGTTGTTGTTGTTGGAGCCATAGACCACTACATCTTGAGACTCACGGTTGAGATCAAACCCAGGATATGAGAAGTTCGGGGTCAATGCTCTGACCCCTGATCCACCCAGCCACCCTCAATACAGCGCGTATATCAGTATTATCCATACGAAAGAAGTATTAGAGTACTGTGTTGCTTACGCATTGCAGATAAGTGTGTGTGTGTACCTCAAGGTGTATTTTTAATGGACCAGTCAGTGGCGGTTGTTATGTGGGGAGTGACATTTTGCATGAATTAGCGCACAGTGCTTGTAAGTCACACCGTAACACATGGGATGTTTTAGCTCAGGAAACATGTTTTTAACCGGCAATAGATACATCGATCAGTCCCGTCGCGACCATCCATACAAAATATCCTTCGCAACTTTACGTTCTCACAAAGTTAGGCAAGCCTGGCCCCAAAGTGTCGCTCATGTGTAGAATGACAGCTTTGTGTTATGTGGAGGGACTATGAGCTGGGTATCATCGTGCATTGTAAATACATTTTTCAGGTATATCGGGTGTTCAGTCATACCCTGTGGTGTTGTGTTTCAAGTACGCTTTGTTAAAAACAATTCCTGGGCCACTGCGCCTTTGGTCAACGGTTTGATTCCCGCTGCCGCATGGTCATGTTTTTTGTTTGTTACTGGAATAACCAAAGTGCTTAGTTTGAAATAATCGTGTTAAAGACTGTGCGATCTCTTTGAGTGACTCTGAGCTGGGAATCCTGCCTTCCCGAGCTGCGCTCCAATGTTTGTCCCGCTTGGCGAAAATGCGTGCGTCACAAGTTTTACTGATGAAATTCACAAATATTGGTCCTTGTGTGCGGGTGTCTTCGTGCCAATTCTAAAATTAAAAGTACAGTACCCACGATGTAAATATAAAAAAAACATTACTTTCGAACCAGATTTACCCAGGTCTCTGCCAAAAAAAGATGAAAATATAAGTGGTTTCCCAACCGATGTGACCAGAATTTTTATCAGAATAGGAATCTTTATTGAGACCAGAGGAATCCGATGAGCTATGAAGCTCTATTTCACAGGCGTCCAGTAGGGGCGGGTCACCAAATGACAATGGAAAACAATATATAAAACGATAGGAGTGCAAAATAGAGAAAAGGAAAAACATATCACTAAAATAAACATGAATAAAGTATTTCAGTACTCGGGACATAAATAACAACAATGCTGCTTTTATGCTGTGGAATTCAAGACTTGTGGCTGTCTGTAGCATGGTGTTAAGGTACATTTAATACCTTACTTATATGATGCATTTCTAGTGTGCCTTTATTGTGTTTTCATTGCCAAAATCTTATAATTGTTTTCCTGTAATCGAGTGAATCGTTTGTAGCAAGGCACACACGACATTTGAACAGATGTTGCTTAACAATTGGCAATTTTGCATCCCATTTTTCCAATGCACATTTTTGTCCGTGAATGATTTTCCGTTCCCTCCCGTAGCTTGTGCAAAAGTCACATGCTTACGCAAGGATGCCTGATAACGTGGGCTGTGGAATTTCGGAAAGCTTCTTGCTGGTATTTTACCCCCACCCGCG